GGAAATAGGATATGTATAAAATCGTATTGTATGTCTTTCTTCCCATTACAACATATTATTGTAAATACGAAACCTTTGAATAACCTTTTTGATATCAAATGTTTTTTAAGTCTCTGCTGAGGCAGAACAGTAGTGAGACCGCTTGGCAACTGATAAATGTGATAAGGTATTGATGTGCTCGGTCGTTTAGTTTTCAAAAAAGAAAATAATATTGCCAGATTTGATATTTTAAAGCGCATTTCACTCAGAAATAATGAGGAGGAAATTGCTTTCTGGTGACTTCTATATTTTAATGTCTTAGATTTGTCTTTAATGATAGAGGAGGATAGATACTAATACCCCATACATATAACATCTATAGAAGATGCGCTGTCGACCCTTTTTGGGTTTGCAACTTTAAACAATGTCATTATGTATTGTTGAAATTGGTCTTCGTGAGTCAAATGAAATCCTAACCAACTTATATAAATAGCGACATAACTGATAATGACCATAATCCACCGCTTCAGTCTCGCTGACATTGAAAGGTCATCGACTTGAACAGACGACAAAATTAACGTGAAAAATACCATTCTTTTTGTTCGATCTTTTTATTCTTCTCGGTCGTGTTTGACAGATATACGTCAATTGAGTTTGAGTTTGAATTGCTAATTTATTCCGCGTTTAACTAGTTAGAAGTGATCGGATTAAGGTTGGTTTTGGTGACAAGCATCCATCTTCTGACTGAACGCATATTGTAACTTATTAAATTACAAATGATAATAGTAAAGAAATAAAGATGAAACAAATGGATTTTGAAAGCAAACAGGAAAATTTGTAGGGGCCACAGGAAGAGTTGAATAACCCGAAGTCTGTAGGGGGGAAAAGGTGGTAAGTAATAGGAAAAATAGTTAGCAGATAATGTGGGATTGATCATCTGGCAAGGGTATTCATCACCCAGCATCAAGAGAACCCCACGTGTGTCTGTTCTCCTCTGATACAAATAAAAACAAGTACACACGTAAACATTGCACTTAGTTGGCTTTCCTCACGTAAGTAATGCAAATCTCAGCCTAACGAGTTCGTGTCAAGCACAACCGTCTTGCCAACGGTGTCCTTGATCGTCGCGATGATAATAAAATGCGAAGAATTCTCTTGATCTCTATCAATCAGTTTACTCCATAAGGCGGATGCAAAGGTTTGTGGGTGGGTAGTGTGGGTCTCCTCGCCCCGCACCCCGCGCTCGCCATTCTAATTATTAGCCATTGTGGTCGGGTAAAGTTTGCGATCAGCCGGCCGGCACTGGCCGAGCCAGTCACGCCGCACTCGCCGCGAGTTGGGCACGTGTCGACTCGTCTAACACACGATCAAACACGCGACAATTTATTTAACTCTAACACAATTGTGATTATGGACACCCTGGATGTACCATTCGGATCGCAGCGACGCTGACCGCCAGAACGCGAGGTAAACGCCCGCCGACGGTCGCTAAAACATTACAATGCGCGGAACGCAAATTTGTGGCTTTTCGTAAGTTAAGGAATTCCAATATAGTATTGCCGTTTAATATCCTGCGTTTTCCTCGCTCCGTAGCTAGTTATTATCTCGAACGAAGTGTTCATAAATTGCTAGCGCTGGAACGGATTGCGATAAAATATGCATAATGAACTAAAGTAAGCAGGCAAATGAAAATAACTTCATTACACTTTTAAGATATTCTTTTTTATACCAGAAGACATAATTTCATAACTAATGAAAAATATAAACTCATTTATTTGAGTGCAATTTCAATTTTTTTTTATAAATACCATTTCTTTGAGCATTTATTCTATTAACCCAAAAATGTAATATTTATCAATTGTTAAAAAATACACTCAATATCCAACGAATCCATTTATAGCGTGTTCCAGTACTAATTTATATGGAATCTCGTTAACATATGCAATTATATAACGCTACGTATCTCGTTTTCTCGCGCTAAAACTATTGTGCATGCATAACTGACCTTCACAATAATGGGTTTCTCTTGACATGTAATTCCGCTGGTGCATCTACTAACAACGAATATATGAAAATCGTGGACACTGGACAAAGAAATATATTTAAACGAGCTCACGAGAACGTTGGCTTGTCTTTCTCCAATATGGTCCCCATCAATTCTCTATGCATGAATTCCAACGAACAATTCCGCATGATAATTTAATTGGTGATAAATGTTATCTATTCCAGCACTTGATGTTACTGACTTTAAATTCTACCCATTTTCTAGTCATAATTAAAATATTGTAAAGAGCAATATCTACAACAGGAAATATTATCAGAATAATCCTAGTTTATTTTATTGAGGTTTGTGTATCAATCGCTGGGAAAACCGAGTAATAACAATTTAGTTATCATTAAACTAGAGCGCGTAATACCATACTGTTATATATTTTGAAAATTATTAGCAAATATATACGTTCAGTATGTAATTGCCGACAATTGTAAGTTTTTTTTTTTATTATAGACAAGCGTGGAGTTAACTCGATGGTAGCTGAAATACCCCGGCCATATAACTATCTAAACACGATGCAGTGTCGATCTATTTGGAAATCCACAGACTAAGAAGTATACATTGATGTATCAGAAAAATTATACATTGAACCCACGATTCGTTGATTACGGTCAAAGGCCTAACAATACTACCATCACACTAACGAACCCCACAAAGCGACTGTTTTAATGTGTTCGGAACATTTCCACAGAATTACATTAGATCAATTTCAACAATAACTTATCAATGTTATTAGTCAAAATATCTGTCATTCCTTATCTGCGCTTGCGCAATATCGGTTGCGTTATCATCCCTTTTGTGCGATGACGTAAAAATTCGCACTTTTTGCGTAACACCTCGGGATCTGTGACGACAGTGGTGCGGATGAGTCACGCATTATTGACCTGTTATGTTATCGGGCCGTGGCTTTTCTACTTCAATCGTTATTAGTCATCGCTCATCTCGAGATAGAATTATCAATGAATCAATGAAATCATTATGTGACCGCTTCGTTGCTTTGAATTCTGAATTAATTGTTCTGCGAACATTCCACATAATTAATTTTTATAGTCTTGATTCTATAAATTGACGTATGATCATTATTTATACTTTTTTTAATCTATACTTTAATTACGAAATTCAAGATAGCGTTCGTAACTTATACGGATCGGACTAGATCGGAATTGAATGTTTATTAAATGAGATATAAAGCTATTTTTGGCAAAAGTAAACCGAACCTCTTGTTTGAGTTGATTAGAGGTGACGCCGCGCTGCCTCGCGTACGCGTGCTAATGACATCAGTTTGATACACGTCATAGCACGTCATCCATGTCTTCATCGGATCCTCCGTAACGCCAATTAACATATTACACTAAATGATTGCGCGCTGTAACATAATACTGACGATTAGAAGGCCTCAATTTATCAGACGATGGCGTAACTCCTGTCTCTCGTAATGGAAGAAATTGATGGAGAGCCCTTCGTTCAATAGGAATTGATTTATGGGGTCAACGATGTGGCCACACCTGAGGCGAATCAATATGCATGCTGCATCTAGCGTGAATCGTTATTGAAAGTCGGACTCTCCAATGAGTCACGGATAACGTTACATACTTAATAGATCCTTTGACCGTATTCAACTGTTGCTGAATTGTCCTTGTGCTGATTTCAGACGATTCTCGGAAAAGCAATAGAGATGATAGGTTATTGTCTCACATAAACGTACTGTAACGCATAACGCTGCGTCAAGTCATGCTCGAGATTTAATAGTAGTCAATGGAACTCGTACGAAAGTCGCGTCCGCCTTTACAATAGTAATTTTTTTTATTAAAAGGGTTATTATTCTTATTCTAAGATTATTTTGTAAGGTTATTAAGTTTTCATAAATTTTTGCACTTTTAGCAACTTGTATAGTTTACTTATTAAATCTCTTTCTAGTCGGGTTGTCTGAAAGAGATCGCTCATAGCGAAGTGGCTATCCCTTGAACTCTGGAGTTGTAAAATTTCATTGTGTATTTGTATATGGTGAGTACCAAAGTGTGAAATAAATTTATAGTAGTCCATAAACTATGTTCGCGTCAAATTATTTTTTCCTGGAATAACAGAACATTGTTACTTTAGTAAGCGGTGTAACGCGGCTTATGGCGTTTATAGGAAACTACAGCTTTCCTAAACGTGGAACCACTACTTTTTTTGTGATCAAACATGCTTTTTATCTAGACTTGTAATATTTCCGCTAATGCGCCAGGGTTTCGGCTTATCGCTCCGAAATTTACGAAATGCGGGTGTAATTTCCGGTACAGACACCTGTTAATTGCTAAGTCTCAACGAATTTATTTAAAAGTTTAAAAATCATTAACGGACAATGCGCCGAAAAATATAGTTATATTTTTCGGCGAATTGTCCGTTAATGATATGAATTGAAGTTTCAATACTCTCTAGTTTACTTTAACGGTTTAAAACATATATACGGAGTCTGTGACTACGGCTGCTGCAAAGCATTCGAATCGTCGAGCCGTAGTTAAAAATAATTTTCAAACGAGTTTAGCTAAAATATATCGTGTTTAAAACCGTTATAGTGTTTTATTTAAAAATATAACCTCTCATATGAATAAATAAAAATAAATTACTATGTAAATTGAGTAAGGCTTTTACGGCCATCGATCAGCATATTGTGTTCGGCAGAAGAGGTTCTCAAACCTCTTCTCGCTCATATCGGCCGAACAGCCCGAAAGACAATAATATGCAAATTACTATGTACTTAAGAAAATTAAATCGGTATACTTATTGTATTATATATCGCGTTTCAAACCGTTATAGTGTTTTATGTAGTTTATGAGTACTACTCGCTTAATCTACAGACAGTATTTACTTATTGAGTTACTCATAAATTGTTTAACAAAACAGCTTAATTCAATGCATTGTCTATGGCTTCTACTAATAACAAATAACTACAACAACAATCTATTTGTAAATTCTTATTCCACAGATACCAGAATTCGGTTTGGATGGCAACAATACCCTGAAACACAACGGCAGTGCCAAAGACTTGGCTTCAGTCATGGAGAATCTGAAAAAGACCAGCCTCGTGTCCAGACAGAACCAGACCCTCAACACACAAGTCTCCAGCTCGAAACAACAGGTGAAGTTTAAAAATACTTCTACTTATAAAGTAACGTTTAACGTACACCAAAGAAAAGAATAAGACAAATCTTCTAGATAATATAAAAACACATCGTAAACAATACTTTGAACTTTATATTATAAAAGTTGTGTAAATGTGTAAACGGTCCCGGACCCCAGAAAACCATTTGTAGTTATGTATTTATTCATGGCGTACTTTCTGTAAGTTTGTAACGAACGAAATCAGGACAGACAGAGTTTACTCGGTGAAAGTGAAATATCCCGAGCGATGTTTTCTTACACAAGGTGTTGTTGGCCGTAAGTTGGCTTTAGAATTTGTAACGTAGATGATTCGTGATAAATAAAATCGATTTTCTACATGTTGGACTCGGAAGGTATCGAACCCAAGAGCTTCGATTATCTGGCCCACATATGCTGACAATCGACCACCGATCCCCTCAAATAGAACTACGAAAACAAAAGATAAAATATTTCTTCTGGTTTCCAAGAGGTACCTAGTTGAGCGACTTCTAATACCAATTCAACCGGTTCTTATCTCGGGAGTAAAACGCGGGCGCAAACTAGTTAATGGCTTTTAAAATATTAACGTTTAACATTTTGCGTCGTTATACTATTGAATAATTATTGTTTGAATAACAAATGAACGCTTAACTTGCGTGTGGGCGTTTTAATAACACTAGGTTCGCGTTCAAAGGCCACATTTAGATTCATACACGTAACAGACCATAATACTGTCAACTTGACAGGACAGAGCTCGAACCGGCTTATTGGTACACGGAGTTATTCTTTGAAATAGTATTAAATATAGTTTAATGGAAGCTATTTTGGTGCCGGCCTCGCTTTGAACATAAAATGGGCGGTTTATTTTGAAATCGGCGAACGGGCTGAGGGAAAAGTAAATACACAATGTGACCGTACGCGAGATACATATTATTATGTTCGGTATGTGTAGGTTTCACGATTGGAAGAGACTATAGACTTAGTATTTGTTTGATGAAAACAATCGTATCTTATTTCATACAATTATTCAACAAGAACATTAATTAATACATTAAAAATCGACTATAAATTGAAAAAAAATAGGACTCGGGCAGGGCTAGAACCGGAATCCTCAGCATTCCGTGCTGTTTATTTACAAAAATGTATTAGTTTATAAGACATATTTAAAAAAGCCGGAGTGAGTTTCTTGCGTGTTCTTCTCAGTTATGTTGCTCTTTTGAACACTCCTCTGTAGAATTACGACGAACAGACAGACAAACAAAAAAAATTGACGAATCTAAATATTTTTTTTAAATTTTAAAGAGAATAAAGTGATATTTTATTTTATTGCTCAATTGATTGCCGGTTCAAGCGCCCAAGTTGTAATTTTTTTTCAATTTATAATCGACTTTTAATTTATATAGTGCCATGATGAGGAATAACATTTGTGTATGTAGACCATTTATCACAAACAAACTAGCGTCAATGAAGTTTCGTAATATAGGGTTACCGGTTACCACAATGCAAGTGCATGCTGGAGCTGGCGAAAGGCCAATGCGACGATACTCTCAACATTAGGGGTATCTGGTTTCCTTTCTCCCCTTTTTTACCAACATTACATAGGTTGAAAGAATTAGGTCATAAGGTAGCTTTACGAATATCCAAAAACATGTAACAAATTAACGGCCATAATTTAACGCTTATCATTCTGATTCACACGGCCTACAAACCTTCGGTACAAAGAAATACTAACCTCGAATTATGAATCACATCTTCTAAGAAGTTTCTTCCAAAACCGTTATTGCACCGCGATAGGACGCAGACGGTAAAGGTTAAAAGACCCGACGCATCCTACGCCATCTGACTCAGTGCTGCCGCGAAGACGATGCGCCAAATAATGCTCAGAATAAATCAAAAAGAGGAAGTACTCAGGTATTACCCTGTAGTTTACGCAAGTAGCACACATTTAATGAGAAATAAAAAACATGAAAATATATTACTTAACTTATTTTCTCTACGGTCTGACGTTTCAAATGCTTTGCTGCAGGACATCAGCACGGCTGTTTTTTTTATTTTAGACCGTTAAAAGTGTTTTATTTAAATAATCATACAGAGTACTAAAAGTAAAGCAGACTGCTGTTATTATTATTTTCGTTATTTAAAAGGTCTTTAGAACTATAGTAATTATTATTATTAGAGACATGGCACACATACGGATAGTAAAATTACATTGGAAAAATCTTGAAAATGAAGCTTGTGAAGATTAAAACGCGTCATGCAAATACAGTGTTAACGTTCGAATTGAATTATAATTAAATCAATAAACGTTAGAATTATGTATTTTCAGAAACCCTTTTCTTAACTTAACTATTACACAACCACCACGTAGAAACAAATACAAAAACAACTCAATATTAATTTCTTTGTAAGATCGGAAAACGAAAATAACACGTCTAAGATTAGAAGTAGGAAACAATGGTCGCAAGAGATAAAAAGACTCGTTTTAGAATTGTAGAGCACCGTCAAATTCTTCACCTCTTACTCATTCCTACGACGATAATATCAATATCGTGTTTTTAAATTTGTCTATTTTTACAGTGTATTGACAGAAGCGAATGTCTTATTTATCCGCAGGTCCACGCCAACACGCTCGACGCCGACAGAAACGCCTGTAGCGTTGGCACTGAACTCAGTACTTGTCTAGATAATCAGTGTGTTTGAGGCGTGTGTGGCGGACTGGTGTAATCTAACACTGTAGCCAATACTATTCGATAATGAAAAGGTCTACACGGCGTTTACTCAACACGTTATGTGGTTTTAAAACGTACTAATCGATCACATGTTCGCAGATGGTGTCCAGCGCTTCGTCGAGTACTGCCGCGTCTAGCCAGCGAGTGCAAAGTTCGTCCCAGCGCGCCAGCTCCATCAAATCCGACCTCTCCGAACTGCAGAGCTCCATCTCGGAAATGAAGACGCTCAGCAACTCGGCGACCCTAAACTTCGGACAGAGGTACGTCTCTCGTTACGTAAATAAATCCCATGTTGTAATATTGCCGAAGCTTTGTTTTGTTAATGGTCGCAACAGATAACGAAATCGCTATCCCACCTGAGCTACGATTGGCCGCCGGCCAATTTTCGGTCGGAGCGTACCGCCTCGCTTCTAGTCCGTAGTTTCACATCAACGTACAATAGATGCGCTCGTTTTTGCGCCAAAAATCACCAGTTTCGACGTACTCATTTCAGACTGAGAAGTTCGATGGAGAACATCGTGGACCAGGAGGACGCGAAGGAGAGGCACATACCCGACATTCGCGATCTGAGCGAGATGGGAGATATCGGCGATATCGGGGACATGACCGACCTCGCCGGAGACGGTCCCCTCGTGACCTTCCCCGAATCGGATACGCCACCCCCCGATAAGCCGTGTTTACTGGCGCCCGCGTCTGCATCTCTCGCCTCGATAGGATCGAGCGCAGCGAACGAGCTGAAGTACAGCGCGGCCAGGTCCACGTCGGCGAGTTCGACGCGCGTGGTCACGGACGGTTTCAGTGCATCAAAATCGGCCGCGAACAGTTCGAGGATGAGGAGGCTGCAACACGGAGACATGCAATACGCTGAACACAGTGCGACGGGAGCGTCTCATAGGCTTCTACAAGCCGAAGGCCTGACGGCCGAACAGAACGCCGCTTATTTACAAGTAAGTAAATCGTGACTTCATAAGCGTTTCGCGGTGATTAATCGTATTAGATTGAATTTCGACAAGACAAATGTATCGCCCCACGATTTCTGCCAAGTATCATAATTCGCACGCGATGGTGCCATCGAGGCGCGCCGAAGGACGCGACCTCGCTCCGTCTCGATCGATATCCTTAGCCTCGCTTCTGCATCGCGCCGAGGCCGACGACGCTCAGTCCAAATGGGAACTTTGACTCGAAAACATTGTTATCGTATGCTAGTATGAGTGCGGTTCGCCGTTGAAAGATGGCTTCGCGCATAGTAGCGTGGACGTCGAGGTTGCTGCGGCGCGGAGGATCGCCAAAGGCGGTGAGCTCATTTATCTGCGCTTATCGCCGCAACTACACCATGCTCGTCTCAGTCGGTGTTCGAGCGTCGCGCGCGCGAGCACACGCGGAAGTCAATTGCGCGTGCGCCGTACGCGAATAGTCGGCTTAATTTTAGACGCGGAATGTCTACGGGAGGGGGCTCTGCCCCGTGGCCGGTCCGTCGCGGCGTCCTGGCGCGCTTCCCGCCGAGGTCGCCGAATCCTTCGGTGAGATTTGACATCCCGGGATACGTTTTCATTCGAAACCTTCATTAACGGTGACGTCTGTATACAAACTTTAAAATTATCACTAGTATCACGCGATTGGCCTACTTCCAAAAGAAACTAGCTTACGAACCGGGTCACGACGCGTACTTTCCGATTCAGGAGAACTTGTGATAGCGCTAATCTCAATGAGAAACTGCGCCGTTTCCGTTGTATGTTTGTTCTATAAACCGGATGTTATTTTCAGGAGAAGCGATCTCTACAAGCCGGAGAGCTATCCGCCCAAGAGGCAAACAACATGTCGGCCACCAGTTCCAGACTCCAGACGGAAGCTTTCAGCGCCGAGAAAAAAGCGATGGCTTCCTCACAAGCTCGCCAAACCGTTACTTCGAGCGGCATGTTCAGCCACAAGGAGCACTCCTCACACTCAAATATGACTATTTCTAGTAAAAATCTGACAACCAAGTCCACCTTGCTGTCCTCCCAGGTTAGTTTCACAACAATAATAAGAGTTCCTAGCGTACGTCAGTGCGTTTGCTTCCAAAATATGTATCGCTTTGTGACGTAGGTGCGAATATGTCGAAACGCTGTTCCTAACTTCGCTTGTTTGCGTTTCAGATGAGTCAACTGCTGAACGGAACTATCAAACCGGGCGACGAGGATCTAACAAATTTAACATTCGAGGATCTAGACAAATTAAACGCGAACTCGAACGAGAAGGATGTCAACATGGCGATACAGAAGTACTCGCATCGGATGAACGCGTTCATCACGGCCATCAAGAATAACCAAATGGACATGAAGAACGCCGGCGTACATTTTAACAAACTGAACGAGATGCTCCGAAGGGCGTGGGCGGTCCCTACGTACGGACACGAATTAGGCTATTCATTGTGTAACGCGTTACGTACGTCTGGTGGCCTCGACATTCTCATGGAAAATTGTCTAGAGTCCAACAATCCCGAGCTACAGTTTTCGTCCGCAAAACTTCTAGAACAATGCCTCACTACGGAGAACAGAGCGCACGTCGTCGAAAACGGGCTCGAGAAGGTCGTCAACGTCGCTTGCGTGTGCACCAAACAGGCCAACGCGGACCACTCGAGGATCGGCACTGGTATATTGGAACATTTGTTCAAACACAGCGAAGGCACCTGCAGTGACGTCATCAAATTGGGGGGCTTGGACGCCGTGCTGTTCGAATGTCGGAAGAACGATATCGAAACTCTGCGGCATTGCGCCACGGCCCTCGCCAACTTGTCCCTGTACGGCGGCGCCGAAAACCAGGAAGCCATGATCAACAGGAAAGTGCCCATGTGGCTGTTTCCCCTGGCGTTCCACCACGACGATAACATTAAATATTACGCTTGCTTAGCGATAGCTGTTTTGGTCGCCAATAAAGAAATAGAGGCGGCCGTTTTAAAATCCGGCACGCTGGACTTAGTCGAACCTTTCGTGACGTCACACAACCCTTCAGAGTTCGCACGGTCGAATCTAGCTCACGCTCACGGTCAAAGTAAGAACTGGTTGCAGCGGCTAGTGCCCGTGCTGAGTTCAAAAAGGGAGGAAGCGAGAAACCTGGCCGCCTTCCACTTCTGCATGGAGGCGGGAATAAAGAAGCAACAGGGCAACACTGAGATATTCAAAGAAATAGGCGCGATAGAGTCTCTCAAAAAGGTCGCCAGCTGTCCGAACGCCGTTGCGTCGAAATACGCTGCCCAAGCTTTGAGGTTGATAGGCGAAGAAGTGCCGCACAAGCTGTCTCAGCAGGTCCCGCTCTGGTCTATCGAAGACGTAAGAGAATGGGTTAAACAAATTGGTTTCTCTGAGTACGCGACCAATTTCTACGAGAGCCGCGTGGACGGAGACCTATTGCTTCAAATTACAGAGGAAAACCTCAAAGAGGATATCGGCTTGCATAATGGAATCAAGAGGAAAAGGTAGTTATTGTAACCGTTCTTTAAGACTTTAATTATGCTTATTTTATCTCAACGACAAAAATCCGTAAAATTTCTAAATAAATAATTTATAGACTTCTAAAATATATTACAAATAGAAATAGTAGTATTTAGTAATAATAATGATAATTAACTAAGTATTGTCTGTAGTTAAGTGAAGTAGGTTTACATTTAAATAAGTCTGCATTTTAAACAGTTTATGTGTTCTGAAGTCTCAAATTTTGTGTCCATTTTTGACAGTATATGCAGTGTGTCTTTTCCTATTTCAAAATTAATTACCTATGGTACAGATTTCCTAATTATCACCTATTTCCAGATTCACGAGAGAACTGCAGCAGTTGAAGAAGATGGCTGATTACAGTTCGCGCGACACAGGCAACTTGAACGACTTCTTGCAAGGCATAGGCCTGGAGTACACGATATACACGTACTCTATGTTGAACGCTGGCGTCGACAAGGAGTCCATTCGCGGCCTGAGCGATGAACAATTGGAGAAGGAGTGCCATATCCTCAACAGTATACATAGACTTAGGATTTTGAATGCTATAAGAGGTAAATTGGCCAAATAGTTACTGCATATTGAATAATAAATATTTTGCAAATTAATTATAAAGAAATGAATATAATCTATATAATCGATATATTTCAAGAACAAGACAAAATCAAGTCAAAAAATAAAGAAAGTAGTAATAATGGGATAGTAGACAAATTGGATATCAGTAAGCCAATTAAAAGTTTTCGCTTTTAGATTCAGAAATATACAAAATTTACAAAATGCGGGCTTAAATTAAAAATTATAATTAAGAATCATTTTTTTAATAAGAGGCATTGAGTGTTAGCTTATCACGCTCTATACACATTTGAAATGTGAAATAAAATAAAATATAAAAGAAACATCGACAGACGTTGTCTGTAAAAAGCAATGTAGGATAAAATAAATACGTACCACATGCATTTCACGAGAAGGGCCGTCTGAGCGACCTTGAACGAATATAACACTGCCCAGTTGTTTATGTTGACCTAAATATAAACATGTGCTTTCGCTCACAAAATTACTGTTCTCATTAAACGTGCAATTTCAGCGTACGAGAGCAGACTTCCGATTAAAGGAGAAGAGAATCTGGAGAAAAACTTGGACGTCTTCGTCAGCTATAGAAGGTCGAATGGATCGCAGTTGGCCAGCTTACTCAAAGTCCATCTTCAAGTTCGAGGCTTCACGGTTTTCATAGATGTGGAGAGGCTAGAAGCTGGGAAATTCGATAACAACCTTCTCCAGAGCATTAAGCAAGCGAAGCATTTCCTACTCGTGCTAACACCGAACGCCTTGGACAGGTGTAAGCATGATAACGAACAGAAAGACTGGGTGCATCGGGTAAGCATATACTATTTAGTAGATCTAAATACATCTATAAGATGCAATATTATTATTACACCGATATCTGGCATGCTAGAGGAGCATAAGATATTGTTCAAATAGATTTTTTAATCTGATGTCATCGTTATTGAACGTATAAATTATTCTTAGCGCCTCTATCCATATCTAATACCATCAATATTAAAAATATATCAAGAGACTGGTTGCAAATTATGAATATGACAGTTTTTCTTCACACATGTTATAGTAGTTCATCGTTCTTCATACTATTTAATAGGAATTTAAAAAAATAGTATATTATAAAGAGTTTTTCTTGTAGGAGATAGTGGCGGCGTTGCAATCTCAGTGCAACATCGTACCCATTATCGACAACTTCGAGTGGCCCGAACCGGAGGAGCTGCCAGAAGACATGAGAGCGGTTTGTCATTTCAACGGCGTCCGCTGGATACATGACTACCAGGACGCGTGTGTTGAAAAGCTGGAAAGGTAAGAAACATCATTATGTAGTGATTATTAGTTTTATATAGCACATTGTAACGCTATGTAACTTATTCAAATCTGTTAGAATACAAAACTAAGCTTCTACTAATAAAAAAATTACATTAGGCACTATGAAATCAAAGTTACAAATAGCGAAACAAAATATCTATTATCACTTGAGGGAAGTCAGCTAAAGACTATAACAATTGGGACCAAATATGTATAGAAAACAAACAATCCTATTTGAGGGAGTGCAATAATCTGTCTACCAAATCAAGATAACTTAAACTGTGACCCTCTATCTCTCTTATTACATCTAAAGTAATTGTATTGATATTATTTGTCATTATTTGAATTGTAAAAATTAAAATAAATATTTTTAAATCTTAAGCGTTGCAATTCTAATTGTGAACTATAAGATTTGCAAATAGAGTGTAATTTTTATCTATAGATCAATAAATATTTTCAGCTTTCTTCGTGGTAAATCCAATCTCGCGAACCGCCTAGATGGTCCCCTCCGTGGCCGCGACGTGCAGACCCCAGGCACAGCGGCCATTGGCAGGGGACCACCGAACTATCAACGCATGCAGTCCACGGAGAGTCGGGGCAGCGATAAGGCAGATTGACTAGAGCCGTTACACACCCTCCCGCCTATTAGGTACCTTATTTCTAGTTTGAATTATACATAAAAAAATTACTGAGCTATATAGAGAGAATTTTTTAATCGAATAAAACAGAGTCAAAAATTTAAGGTTTGCTTTTTCTGAAATGTATAAAACTTCATCTGGATAAATTTGTGGTGTTGGAAAATCGAACTTTCGTCACGAACCTCCGTCCGTATTATACTACAGGTTCGTGTTTCGATTTTTAAAGCGCCAAACAAAAAAAGTCAAACATATTGTTTAGATGTTATATGGCTTATAAAGTGACTACTGCCTTTAAAACTACATTCTGAAATTATTTCGCCTTTTCCAGACCGAGACGTAGCCGTCAGGCATCAATTGAAAAAGCGAAAGACTTGGACAGCTGCGACGCTTCGCCTAAACAATTGTTCACTGCAGCTTCTTGTGATCTGCAGGAGAGACTAGCCGGCAGTACCGACAGCATACACCAAGAGACACTTGTGAATTCTCGTAGAAGTCGTAGCTGTGAAGGTAGTTTAGACGAGTCGCCAGCGGATCTGCCCTCGCCGCTGCACACAAGCACGCAGACGAAACGTAAAAAGAATTTCATGGACCGTTGCGTTAACAAAGTGAGACTTTGCTGACAAGTCTTAGACGAGCGGAGTGTGTATTTTATCGGACTGAAACTATTTATGTTTATTGTAAAATAAGGACTCGTGCGCAATATGTAAATACTGTGTATAATTCAGACTTCCAATTGCCCACGCCTAATTGGTGATCAAAACAATGTAATCTCAATGAGTGTACGGAATACTTGTATAATTTAGATGCTACACTGTACTGTTTGAATACAATACACGCGGTTGCATTAGCAATGTTGCCATTCGTTGTAGTATGGCAAATTGCTCGTATCAGGCTCTAATATTCTTAGAACCAATCTCTCTTTTCACTCTCTATTTTAGAATTTACACCTAAACTATTTATCTATGAATTTGGTTTTATTATTTCTTGCCAATGAAGTATTTGTAAAAAAATTACATATTTAGCGTACATGCTGAAGTGCATATTTTTATAAAATGAAATTAATCGTTTGAACTCGAAATATTGTTACGTAGTAAGCACTTTTATTGTTTAAATTAGTATTATTTTATTGCAATCTTGATGTCTTGTAAATATTAATTAGATTACCTATGCCATAATAATGTTTATCACATGAGTTAACCATGATAATTTTATTTTCACAAATGTATATTATTATTTCATTTTAATAGTCATAATATGAAATAAAAAGTATTATTAAAAACAGATCGTGTTTGTTTTATAAGTATTGGTTAAGTTAAAGAATACAAGGAACACAAAAATTTACGAAAACAAACATAATATTATAAAAATGCAGTCTTTCTCCTATGTATACGTCTATGGAACTAATAACAATAGTCTGTGGACAAAGAATATTATACTAGAGTCTGTTGGTCTCACAGCGAATTAATAACAATCTGTCAAATAAAGTGTTAGAGAATTGTGATTATAAGAATCTGAGGTTATGTTTTGAAATTTACTTTGAGTAAAAATACTATACGAAACTATATATTGACTTAAAACACATATTTAACACAAGCTCACAGAGACGACTGAATAGGTTACATAAGTTCAAATAAAAAAAATTGTCTATAATGCCTACCTGGAATCAAATACAATCACAACTGCGAAACCCAAACAACCCGGTAGTATTTTTTGATATTACTGTGGGGACGACGGTAAGTTATGATTTTATATCTATTACAGGTTCGTTTACATTTAATAACAATAAACATTTCACTGCACTTTTATGATTTAAATGAAAAATTTTAGGAAATAGGACGAATGATTTTTGAGCTGTTTGCTGATGTAGTGCCAAAAACAAGTGAAAACTTTAGAGAGTTCTGCACAGGAGAGTATAGGCGAGATGGTGTCCCACTTGGATATAAAGGGGCTACCTTTCATAGGGTTATTAAAGATTTCATGATACAAGGTGGCGATTTTGTAAATGTTAGTGAGTATAAAATTATAAAAAGTCCTATTTAAAAAAAAATTATTGATATGAAATGTTACATATTATGTAAGTTATGTCAATAATTTTACTAGATTGTGAAGCCTGTGCCAAGCTAGTCTAACGATTCCTTCCATAATACTTGCATATTACAATTTAATAATTTTGTTAAAATTTAAATAATTTCAGGGTGATGGCACTGGTGTCATGAGTATCTATGGAGGCAGTACTTTTGCAGATGAAAACTTTGCATTAAAACATGATTCACCTGGACTCTTGTCTATGGCAAATAGTGGTAAAGATACTAATGGTTGTCAATTTTTTATAACATGTGCTAAGTGTAATTTTCTTGATAATAAGCATGTTGTATTTGGAAGAGTTATCGATGGACTTTTAGTCATGAGAAAAATAGAAAATGTGCCAACCGGACCTAATAATAAACCAAAAATACCTGTAACAATATCACAGTGTGGTCAGATGTAAATAAAAACTTTTCTAACATACAAAAATTTTATTCATTAGGATAAAATGAAACATCTCTTAATGCTTAAAATAAATAATTGTTTTAAAAAAAAAAAATCTTCATTTATTCTTCTTTAAACAATGTGCAATTTGGCTAAGTTTATTTAACTTACATGTCAACTCTTAATTGCATGTTTATTTAACAATAAGTTTTTCGGTTGCATAGATGGTCGTCCATATCTGTTTTCAACTTCCTTAATAAAAGCCCCTTCCATTTGTCTAGCGACTTGGTCGAAAAATAAATTAGACAGGTGAGAATGAAAAGCTGAACGAAATTTAAAAGATATTTGAAAGTCAACTACACAAGACTGTTGCTCTTTTTTTAGTCCAGGACTAAAGCGCCATAATGTCAAGAGGTGGTTGAAGATTCTACCATCAGTGCATTCTGCTTTGACCAAGTGTGGTTTTATTAAAGTTACATTAGATGTATAGCTTTCATTAATAGGAGGAAATCCCACAATTAAGTCGGCTTTGAGGTGGCTTAGAGATTTAGTTAACACTAATGACTTTTTACACCAAGGAACAAATTTATAGTAATTTTCTACATCTGAAACTACTTCAAACATCTGATCCATAGAAAACCTGTAAACAAGTTTTAATTTAATTAAAACAGTCAATAACAAGTGACAAGCAATTAATATTCATAAGTTATGTGAACAATTATGTAAATTTTATTCAAACATACATCTCCAACACGAATAAACATGGAAACAATGATCCCTAATTGACAAAAAAAATAAAAGCAACTAGAGTAAAATTAAAAGATAAAAGCTTTAGATGTACTTTAAATTGTTTTGCAATTGCAGCGATAATGTACTATGAAGTATAGAATAATGTCGTACCCAACTAGCTGTCTTCCACTATATTCTCTTGTGCGGCTCTGTTTAGGTAATGTAAAGAATAACCTCTTCTTTTGCCAAGAATACTGACATTGACAATGACTAGACTTATCTTGGGATTTATTTACGTAATGACCCTGAAAACTATGAACGAAATGTAAGTTAAACGTAATAAGATCGGAAGAATATATAGGTATTAATGTTATTCCGATTTTCAAACAGTTACCTTAAAATTCGATAGTTGAATAAAACTAATCTTGAAGTTTCGAAAAAAAGACCTAGTGGAAATCATTTTTCGTATACGATTTTCTGCTTCTATAGGCCCATATTGTTTGAATCAACATTTTCAAACAAAGATCTTCGTCGATTTAAATTATTTCATCATCTAAGCTACAACGCAACAGCCTAAGATTTCAAAGTATCACAATTAATCAACACTTCTCCAAAAATAATCCTATAATTTAAACCAAGCAGTAATGAGTAATTGGCAAATTGAAATTGTTCCACCGATTTCCGAAATAAAAATTGGACATATAAATTTTGATGTCAAACTCAAATTGCGAAAAGATATTTTTTTGATCATTGACTATTTGTCTTTTATTTTTGACATTTGCCAGTGACTGTGTCATGTGGTGCTCGACTTGACAAAACCGGTGTACAAGTTCAAGAAGTAAAGCATGGTTTGTTAATGTTAAATAATTTAAACATTACACGTGTTTGCCTATTTATGTATTGTAGTAAGTGTAATTTACTATTATAATACTTCAAAATGGGGCGTAAAGCAAAGTTTGATGAAACAAAAAAAGTGAAGAAAGGTCCAGGCAGGAAAGCTAAAAAGCAGCAAGATCCAGTATTTAAGAAAGGATTACGTGAGTATTCAACGTTTGTGATTAAGTAATTAAACATCCTGATTAGGAAATTACAGTAATAGAATAATGGAAACTGTTCATAAGAGATAACACACCTCTATAACATAACCTCAACCGCCCAACGCATGGAGTATAACTGGAGCACTTACAACACATAATATAATACAATTTCATTTGACCTTATTCAATGCTTTAAGTTGACGACGACAAAGAAGAAAAAAAGTTGAGTCATCGACAGAAGCAAAGAGCGGCTCGTAGGTTAAAGAAAAAAAAGGAAATACAAGAAAAACGTAAGGCTTTAAAAGAAGCGAAAAAGAATCCTACGCAAGAGACCGAACAGACTGAAGAAGCAACAAGTTGCTCAGAAGATGAGACTCCTAAAGGTAAAGTGATTCTTATCATTATAATTTGGAAAACTATAAAAAAACTTGGTGGCTTGCAAGTTTTTGTTTGAAGTAAAGTAACATTTGAATGCTTCTTTTACTAATTACTTGCCAAAGATATTCTTAAGGTCTTAAATTGATATGTATGCTACTCTAAACCCTTGAAATGGCTATACAATTAAATAGATATTCCCCACAACACACTTCACTTCCTTTTGTGTAGTTATCTCGGGCTATAATTTTAGCCATATATAATTAAGCAATACGGCATATTTAAGACAGAATAGGATAGCTACACTCCAAGTGCTTCTTAACAAAGTTAGAACACAACCCTGACAAAACTTTTACTTTTATTTTGTGTTCCATGTTATTTTCACTGTTTGCCATAACATTTTTGCCTAGTTTTGTTTAACAATATGTATAAGGGTTAACAGATAGACACTTGTATTATCTGAAATAGGCTAGATTATTAAATATTGTGTAAGATAACAATAGAGAATTCTTCATTCTGTTTCATTCTTCATCTCTTCCATTACTATATTTTTCATAAAACATGTTTCAGGTTTTACTGATGATAATAAAGAATGGTTGAAACCTAAGAAAGCAACTAATAAAGCTAAGGACCCTGAATCTGACAGCAATGAAAGTGATGATGAGGGGCTAGGGGAAGATGAAAACGATGCTTCAAGTGATAATGACGAGTCTGAGAATGAGGAAAAAGAAGTATCAAAAAAATCTAAGAAAGAAAATTATAAGGTAACTAAGAAAATAGTTATATAAATGGATATTCCTAACAAACCTTTAATAAGTCCAATATGGGAAAAATAAGTCAGGAATATAAATTTCTTATTTTTTAATTTGATGATCAACTTAAATTTATTAAATTGATTATTTCTTTAAAAATCGAAAATAAATTGAAAAAAATCGACTTGGGCTGGATCATTCCAGTGCTGCTGGTCTGCCAATGTAATAAATAGCTACCAATTCCTACATCTCATCGTGATTATTTTTTTTCCCAATATGTATGATGTTTTTTATTATAGACTTTTTTATTTCACCTAGATGTTTTTTTATATATCAACAAAATTGGTATAATTTTCAGGTTGGCACTTTGGATGACCTATTTCATGATACTGATGAAGAGCAAGATGAAACTTTAAATGATGTAGAAGATGACGACACAAAAAAACCATACAATTCTGACTCATCTGCTGAAAGTGACGAGAGTGAAAAAGATGATGACGATGATGATGACATGCTCCCAATAGAAAAAGCAAATATTAAACTAAAAAAGAAGCAAAGGCTAGAGAAAAAATTAGCAGATGAAGAAATGCAACTTAATATTGCGAAACAGGATGTTTTCGCTTTTCCCAGTGAAGAAGAACTCCAAAATCCCACAAGCTTACAAGATGTTCTTCAGAGAATAAAGGATATAGTTGCAGTGCTAGGTGATTTTAATCGGTTAAAAGAGGAGAGTAGGTCACGTTGCGAATATACAGACTTACTTTTAAAAGATCTATGTCTATACTACAGCTATAATGAATTTCTAATGGAGGTATTGATGCAAATATTCCCTGTACAAGAGCTAGTGGAATTTCTCGAGGCAAGTGAAGTATCACGGCCTATCACGTTAAGGACAAATAGTCTTAAGACAAGAAGAAGAGATTTAGCCCAAGCACTGATAAATCGAGGAGTTAACTTAGATCCAGTTGGAAAGTGGAGTAAAGTTGGATTGGTTGTGTACAGCTCAACTGTGCCAATCGGTGCTACTCCTGAGTATTTGGCTGGACATTACATCTTGCAAGGTGCCTCTAGTTTCTTGCCTGTCATGGCCTTGGCACCACAGGAAAATGAGCGTATCTTAGATATGTGTGCGGCGCCAGGTGGAAAGGCATCCCATATAGCTGCCATTATGAAAAATACTGGTTCACTTTTCGCCAATGACGCAAACAAAGAAAGGACGAAAGCGATAGTTGGTAATTTCCACAGATTGGGGGTTGTTAATGCCATTATTTGCAATTATGATGGCAGGCAGTTCCCGGAAGTCATAAAAGGCTTCGATAGAGTGTTGTTAGATGCGCCATGTACAGGAACCGGGGTCATCGCTAAAGATCCAAGTGTCAAAACTACAAAAGACCAAAAGGACATACAAAGATGTTTCAATTTGCAAAGGCAGTTATTGTTAGCTGCAATTGATTGTTGTAATGCTAAATCAAGTTCGGGTGGTTATATCGTATACTCAACATGCTCTATTTTGCCAGAAGAGAATGAATGGGTAGTGAACTACGTTTTAAAAAGGCGAAATGTTAAATTAGTGCCCACAGGGCTAGATTTTGGTACTGAAGGCTTTCAGAAGTATAGACATCATAGATTCCATCCATCATTAAAATTGACAAGAAGATTCTATCCTCACACACATAATATGGATGGATTCTTTGTTGCAAAACTCAAGAAGTTCTCAAATGTTATTGTGAGTTTTGTCCTATTCTCGTTTTTAAACTGATATTGTACATTTTAAAGCTCTTAGGTATCATTTTAATTTTTTTAACATTTTTTAAATATTAAATTTTAGCCTGAGCCAGTTAAAGATGAAGACGATGAAGAGGCTGAACAAGAAAATGAAAATGGGGATGGAGAAAATGAAGTGAATAAACAAAATGGTGATGTTTCTCCAGAAACCAAGAACAAATTAAAGGCTGGTGCAAAAAGACCTGCTAAGGCAGACAGTAGCCAGCCACAACAGAAGAAACAAAAACCAAATGGTGCAAGGTAAATATTATAATTAATTTTATATCATGTTTAATGAAGGGATTTTTTTATAGTATCTTTATTCACACACAATGTCTAATTGATCTACGTTAAATTTCTCATGTAGATGTCATAAAATTATTGGACTTATTAATTATATGCTATATTTTTTATGATTATTTTTTCTTGTAAATCCATGTAAGTAAAACTCAAGGTGTGCCACTGTCTCTTCTGATACGCGGTCTGTCATTCAGATATTGTTTGACTTCAATTATATGAGATGTATTTCTAGTCCACAGACGCCATCAGCTGCTAGTAGCTTGACAGCTAATCAGAATAAGAAAAATCAAAAAAAGAAGAAAAACAAAACAGGACAAAAAAGTGAAGTCGTAGATAAACAAGATCATACCAGTGCAAATAGTACAGAACAGGAAAAAACTAATGGAGATAAAAAACAAAATGAATTGGACACTACAGAAATCCAAGGCGATGTTTCAACACCTAATAATAAAGTTACTCTATCAGCTAGCCAAAAAAGGAGAAATAGAAAGAAGAATAAACAAGGACAAAAAGGAGAAAATAAGGTAAATAAGAATGAAAATGACAGTGCAACTATCATAAAACCAGTTACATCTAAGGAAGTCCCTAACGAGAGTACATTAGACAGAGAAAAAAATAAGGGAAATACAAATGCTTCAATTCTTAATAGCACTGATAGTGTGGCTGGTAAGAAAAGAAAAAACAAAAAGAAAAATAAAGAAAGTCTAATTATTACTAAAGAAAGCACAAGTGTAAGTGCAGAGCCACAAACTGTACAAGAAGGGGACAAGAACCAAGTAACGCAAACTACAACAGAAGTTAATTTAAACGAATTTAACAAAAATATCCAAATAAACACTAGCGGCAAAGGTTCGCCGAGTAAGAAGAAAAATAAGCAGAGTCAAGTACAAGAAAACACAAATAAAATAGAACAGAGTAACAAAGATGTTTTAAATAAAGAATCGCCACAGACGAAAGATACTAACAAAATAAATGGAAGTGATCAACAGACGAGTAATGAGTCCTCGTCGAAGAAAAAGAAAAATAGAAAAAAGAATAAGAACAAGCAAGCTGGTGCTTTAAGTCAAATTAATAAAAACGAAAATAAAGTTACGGAAACAGTCGAAATCGCTGCAGCAAAGAAACTTAAAAACAAGAAAAATAAGCAGAAACAGATCGGGAAACTTGACAGTAACAAAGGAATGAAAAAGGGAGTAGATAAGAAGAACTTCAAAAGAAATAAACCTAAAGGTAAATGATTATTGGGTTTTATGTAATTAAAATTATATGAAACTGAATTTTTAATAAAAAATAATTTCTTTTTATTTAGTCTAGTCTCTTATTGCAGTCTTTTCAACAATTACATACTTCGTTTTATGTTCAAATATCGCAGGAAATATTTAGCTTTTTGCTAATAATAATTATTTTTTATAGAATTTAAAATCATGGTTAATTCCATTACCCGCTGTATTATCTTTACTGAGAACCTGACGAACGTTCTTTTGCCATAAGAAGTATTAAGACCAAAATTAGATTATCGTAAAGACGGTTCTTGTGAGTTAATCCTAAAAGGTAGACTACTTTTTTGTACTTGTGTTTTTAGGTGTACTACTCGCGTAAACTATAGACAGTATTTAGGTAGACTACTGTTCCAGACTTGTTAAGGTCATTCAAAGAAGAATTCTTTCATGCATATTTTTGGGTTTCTTGAACCGTTTTCGTAGGGCACGCAACGGAGGCCCTCAAATTACCCCAGTTTTTTCCACATTTTCCTTGATTTCTTCGATCTTATTGGCCGCAACGTGATGTTTTATAGCCTTTCTCGATAAATGGTTTAACCAACACAAATATATTATTCTATTGTCCTAATGTAAATGAAAAAAAAAACTGCTCAATAAATTAATATAACTAATATATGAAATAAAAAACCAAAAGTAAATAATATGATACTTTGAATTCTATTTACAACTAACAAGATAAGCCGTTGTTCCATTCATAAATATTTTATATCTAGGCTATTTATTGCGTATGACCCATCGCATATTAAAGCAGGGGACAGCGAGAGTCTGTCCTAGTACCAAATTTCCCTTTCCGTGTATTTTTTCCGAATCAGGTAACAGATGTGGAACGGCCATTGTTCATTGTGCCATTTTTAGTTCAGCCTGGTTTGTCATTTCACTATCTGCTAGATGCTCGACGTATTTACGAAATTGCTTGGAAGTTGGGATTGTTTTCACTTTATAAACTGAGATGTTTGAAAATGTACTGAGTTTGTGATTTGGCTAAATCTTTTGACGATAATGTTATTAATAAAACAAAGTTAGCTTAGCTACCTTAGCGCTATTTAAACGCTGAAAATCAAATTAAAACGTGTCGGTTTTCAACTTACAAAAGAAAATTATCTACGATTTAAGTATGCTTGAGAATATAAGTATTCTTGGAGGTTGTAAAAATTGAAAATGTTTTTCAAATTGGCCTTTATTGTTTCACACTTTTTACCCAGTTTGGCATGCTTCCAGCTCAGGGATACTCGCCAAGTTAAGTACTTCGCGGCTAAAGAAGCCTAATAAAAAACATTGTTCGTAATGAGTCAACTTACTCCGGATAAAAATATTGCAATACAGCCAAAAGAAATAAAACATAAGTTGTTTTGTTGTCGATATATAATCATTTGTAATTAATTAAGTAAATAAATATCAGGTCTACTTTTGCTCTCATCGGAGCATAGGTAAGGTTTTATAATTATCTATTTCTGTCCTAAATCAGTAACTAACGTTGCTTTAAAAGTAATCCGAAACCGCATGAATATTTGAGGGTAGGCGGATGAATAATGCTCGATATTCCACAGGCCCGCGCCCATTCGCAAAATAATTAAATTTCGTTCAAACAAAAGTACACGTCGGGGTTCGCGTGGAAATGCCGGTCGAGCTTTCCCGTGTCCTGGGCGGCGGAGCATCGTTTAATGAAAGCGTTTTCCGCGCAGCCCCGCGCCACCTCGCTCGCTCGGAGGCTGCCAGTATCCCGCGAACCGTGCCGTCGGCGTCACACGTACGATACGCTGCCACTTAACGCCGCCAAATAAAGTAAATATGACACAATTCAATATCTATCAGTGATCGTTTTATCTCTATATATCTCCTGCTGTCGTTAATTAGCGGTGTTTTTCTCGCGGAGGCAGAAGCGGAAGGGTGGCGCGCTTTGTCCGTACTACGCCCGTAGAGGCTGTAGCGCGCAGCATCCCTCCCTGTCCCGGTATTACTCTCGAGTGCACGAACAAAACTACGAGTCGATATCCCGCGCTCTACTTCTTTCTGTGAAACTTGAGGATGACCTATCTCCTACGTTTCTCATTATAAAGGCCCGGAATGTTTTAATTACCGAACGATACGTTTTCAAGTTGGAATGCTGCGAATGCCTCTTATTTACTTACTATATAATTCTCTTCTAGATACGTAATGTACGGAAGCATACGCAATATAGATATTAAATTAATGTACACGCAACGAAAGATTGTTAAGACTTAGGAAGAGGGACCAATTTTATTATAAAAAACTATCGTCATTCAACTGCTACGTTTCCGGTTAAACCGGAAATGGTCTGTCGCTTCGACGTCTCACAGTGTTTAGGGGGTACATTTTTATCTCGATCAAACTCAACGCGAAGTATTCAATCACACTTATCGATAATCTAGTGTATTTTAGACCACATCTATATAATTTGAGTGATGAATTTTACTTAAAAATACTTAGTGTCATTACTATACTATAATATAACATAATTTATTTTCTATTCTTCTAGAATATCCGTTAAATATTACTTAATCTCTTACTCATTACAACTTCGTGTTAACAAGTCACGAAGGTGCTACCGTTTCAAGATTGTATCACATAAGATAACTAATAACAATAATACATTCTCATCGCGTATCACTTTCTCGGCGCACGCGCATCCTGCACATCTGCAATCGTGAATAGGTAAATGTTTATTACCCAAACTTTTACTCCGTACGATCGATTTAACTACATTTTATGCAACTTGCGAGGACAGTATCAACTAATAAACTGACGTAACGATAGTTACGTACGTTAAATAATACGCTGGCTCTTTATCGAAGCGTGCTTAATTGTTGAAACGTAATCAGTAAATATAGCATTTATTAATAATATTTAAAAACAAAATCTACATTTATAAAACCAAAGTAGAACCCTGTTTAATATCACCATTTACTGTAAGTAACGCTGTTCATAGTCCCCGTATAAATAATGGAGTAATTTTCATTATCGTACGCTGTAAATATCTTCATTTGTTAAGCTGATATTAAAGTAAAGACGTCTTGATAATACAATCATGTCACATCAAGTCTACGTTGAGTTTGTTAACTTAATAACGTCGTCCTTATTTGTTTGATTCGAAGAGAATTGTATGAGAAAATTTAACAAGTTACAATATTTGCTCTCAGAGATTTCGTAGTAACCTAGTTTTGTTACATTCATTTGTCATTCATCAAACAAATCATGATATTACTGTATTAGTAACAGTAATATCATGATTTGTTTGAGACTGACCTGCCAAATATTAAATGCAATAACTGTTTAAATTGATTGTTATTGTAAATTAAAAAGAATATTATTAAAGATCTTATGATTTATACTTCTAATCGTAGTGTAAAATTTTACGATCCCTTTACTGGAACAGCTTCATAATTATAGCTTAGTGTATGTTAGTTTACTGCACCTGCATTGAAAAGTGATTCTAACGACCTTCAAGTGTGAGTATATAAAGCATTTATCCATATTTAGAAGTAGAATTTCATTTATATATTGGCTACAACATAAGCCGCATAACAGTATATATTAATTAAAATAAACTTTAACGGTTCAAAACGCGAAATATGTTAGAATTTTTTTTTATTTAATTGATACTACTCACCTAAACTACGGACAATACTAGTGTATACCATTAGAAAGTATTCTATATATATATATGTAATCGTATGTTTATGATAAAATATATTATTTTAGCGTAGTTACTGTTATTAAAATGATAAACGCTATTTATAAGTTTTTAATTATGAAAGAACAGGAACTGTAAGATTAAACGAACAGAATGAATTCTAAAGATAAAAAATAATTATATACTGTCTTTGTATTATATTTCTTCTTTCTTACATATGATTACAAGTTATAATGTTAAAAGTGCAATTTACATTACAAGTTAATTTTATAATTCCTAACGCGATGAAAAGTTTAAAGCGACAGTCTGTTGACCGGCTGTTTTGACTGTTACAAAAGCAGATTATACTTACGGTGTAAAGATGGATGACGTGTAAAGTACAAAAGGTTTATAAGGCGATAATTAGACTTTGGAGAATGAACAAAAGTATCTACCAGGTAAGAGAGACGCTATGTTATATTATAGCTCGCGTTTTAGTGTATTCAACATTTGTGAGATTCCGCATTTGTATATTTGAACGTTCCATGTGTGTAGGTAGAAATGTGTTATTAAAAGTCATAATAGGATGATATATACTTCCCGTAACTCTGCTTTCAATTAGGTAAATAAGAGAAAGTAAAAAGAAAAGATCATTTAGTAGGCATTGGAAGTATGTCAAAGCATCTTCAACCGATCCTATATAATTGTGAGGCTTACTTAGTTATAAAACAACTTAGTTAACATCGACTCTACACGTCTTTCAGAAATTGTCGTGTTCTCGAAATCAAACCCACAACGAATCGTAGGCTTTAATATTCGGGGGGGAAAAAAGAAAAAAAAAAAAAAAAAAAAAAAAAAAAATTAAAAAAAAAAAAAAAAAAAGAAAAGGAAAAAAATTTTAAAAAGCCCCCCCCGGCCGGGGGGGGGGGGAAAAAAAAAAAGGGGGGGGGGGGGGGAAAAAAAAATTTTAAAAAAAGGTTAAAAAAAAAAATGGGTTTTAAAGAGAGTGTACTCCAAGTTTTTAACACTCTCAAACGCTACATAAATTAGTTAACTTATTAATAGTTTAAATTATTTAAACTAAGGCCTGAAGTACATGGTAAATGGGTACTACCCGCGTAACTAAAGAGTGTCTTAAATATGTTTCTCCCAACGTTTCAGCAGTTTTGAAAGCGACGCCCAGCGTGTTTTCAATAGTCTTATAACTTGAGACAATCGTGACCCGAAAACCGAGATAGTTGAAAATTGCTACGAAATTCTCGAAACCGTAGCAACGTAGTACGCCATAGTTACAAGGCCGTTATAAGTGGTAGCTTCATTATGAGCT